GAGGTGCCACGGGCTGGCTCGTGCTCCCGTGCTATCTGTTGATAGTTTTTCTTGCCGTGTTTCGCTACGGTATAGCAAGTTCTCGATTCGTACAGTTCTCGCGTTGTTCTCGCGATATCCAGGAATTCCATGAATTCCTGTGAGTGTTACGGAGGTGTAATCCTGTGCCTTAGTGCAGTGCTCACCAGAGTGTCCTTTGGATACCGTTCTCGGCCTCCACGGATTAGCTGCACCAGCTCCGGTGAGGATTCCCAATTTATTAATTGGTGAAGGGATCTCGATAGACAATTAAGATTCGTTCTGATACGTTCTCGGTTCGTCGCTCTCTGTCTCACGCACTATTTCCCGGACTCTTACTCCGACCCTCTCTACCTCAAACCTAGCAGCCTGAGCGGCCGTGCATTTCCGTAACCGTCCGCTCTCGTTCGTGTATCCAGTTGCGTTTGCTGATTTTACGCGACCCCAAAGATCAGCACCTACGTTTGCGTTTCTCGATTTTACGCGTCCCCAAAAATCGACAGGATCCGTTAAGCTATCGCCTCTTCTGATAGGTTCCGTCAGAGCTCTCGTTCTTGGTTGACTTGGGCCTGTTCCACCCCAACTCCCAGTTTATACCGGCTCGTCAGTTCCCGATGAAAAAAGAATTGGCTGGCGCCCGTCTGGCTTGCGGATGCACGGACGACGGGTGGACGGCCGAAGGTAACGTAGGTTGGTTCTCGAAGATAGTCGTTCCCGTATGTCTTGCTATCGGTGTCGGGTCAAGTCAAAGAATTACGTTACAATACTTATAATTTTTAAATTTCATAATTTTATCTTTTTCATCCGGTAATATGACTCTGCATTTATTTATATTTGCACAATCAAGTCTATGTTTTTCAAAAGAGCTTTCTAATCTAAAGTGACATTAACATCTGTCACACAGTCTGGTGAAACCATGATGTTTTGAAATTTGTGAACTCAGTAAACGGGATAGATTTCGAATCCAAGCAAAGTGATAAACACTACCGTCTTCCATGTCCACGTCATCTCCATTCGAATAAATTTTTGTTTCCAACATGAGTAAATGAATCGCTTCCTTGTTTGACTTCTGCTGACTTAGATAAATTGGTACTATCTCAAAACGGATAGCGGACCGAGGCGAGAGATAACGCACGAGTTCGGGTGAACTCGGGATTTTTCGGGAATCCTCGGGCCGGGGGGCCACTTCGTTTTGAACCGTGAGCCTAGTGTGAGCGAGTTTTGGAAAGTGGTGCGAATTTTGTGATTTTTGTGTGTGTGATAGTGATTTTGGACAGATAGTGAATTAGACGACTTGGCATTTCCCCCGGACTTTGATTTTTTTGGACTGCGAGAACGCCGCGAGAGAGCGATCCAGAGAGAGCGAGAGCGAAAGAGACGGAAGGGAAAAAGCCAGGGACCCCCAGAAGGAATCCGTGTGCACCGGAAGTTCTGGTAAGTCCCATCCGATTACCATTTTTCGAGCGAAACCGCGCGCCGGCCGGGGATGGAGCGCATCCGCCGGTGCAGCGAGGCAAGCGGAATGGGGGCTACGGGCCCGCCACCGACTCACACGCGCGAAGATTGCAGCCGCCCGGGAAAGGAGAAGACGACTGCCGCGACTGCGTCCTTTGATAGGATTGTATCGAGTCGCGTCCGTAAGACCACCCGACTGTAATCGTTTACCCAGAACGAAATAAATGCAGATTGTTGGAATGAAATCCCACCGTGTCGATTATTTCGGAAAGGCCGACCGATTCCTGTGTAAACTCGCCGCCCTCACGTTCCCCTCTACCAACGCGAAGGAGAGCTAGCGGGAAGATCCGGTCGAGAGGACTCCCGGAAGTGACGCTCCGCGGACTAAAAATAAAAGGCCCGACGAGTCGGGCTGGTGCAAGGATGCACCTGGCGCCCAAGGGATCCGCGGAATGCCACGTTGGGGTCGCGGATAGAACGTAGGTTAGGAAATGTGTTACAATGTATATAATAAGAATGTACAAGTGTGAGATGTATATAATAAGAATGTACAAATGTAAAAATTGAAAATAAAGACAACGTGTGCTTTACGTTATTGCATATCACTTGATCCTTCAATGCAACGCCAGCTCCTAACCATCTGGATTGTTCCTTCTATGCGTTATCTTAATAAATGATTCTCAGAAGTCGCTCACACTCTTTGTCACATAGAGAGGTAGAGGTAGGGAGCACGCTTTAAAAATGACGCTTGCACCCGCTACGACTCAGTTCAAAAAATGTCTGACCACTACGTTCAGTTATTACCGAGCGTCTTTGTACCCATCGAATGGGTACAAAACGGATTTGAACATAGCGCACGTATTACTGTAGAAAACGCTTTAAGAATGAGTGACGCTTTTTACAACACTCTATGTGCCATTGATATAAATGATGTTCTCGCCGTTAAAGAATATAATAATAATCAAATTGGGTTTAGAAAAATATAAGGTAAACATTGAAGAATTATACATATTATTCGTTCTTTTATTTTTTCACTAATTTTAATTTGATTATGACAAAAAATTTTTTTGGTTTTACAGTAATGTGAACAACAGTAGAAGTAGTAGCAATAGTAGCAGTAGTAGCAGTAGCAGTAGTAACAGCAGCAGCATTATAATAATGTACTGATTGAAAAAAGAATATATATATATATATGATAGTTTCTTTAAACATGATCTTCTTCTGAAAAAAAATTATCCATTTCCATACCTTGTCCCATCTCGGTGAAGTCCACAAATCCGACTTATCGATCCAACTATTGTGCGAACCATCGAAGCCTAACCATTTCACAAATAGCTTGTTTCCACGTTTCCTCAGTATCTTCTCCATAAGATATATGTCGGGATATTCGACGCTGGTATGTTCATGCTCGTAGAAGCCGCTTTCGATGGTATGATCTTGGTAGTCCTTGAGATTGTACGTCACCGGATCGGTATTCTTCACTCGACTTACGGTGAAAATTTCGGGTGTCCAATTGGGTGTGTAGCCCTTCTCGAAGATGTGTTTAAATTTGCTGATTCGTACTCTGTCGCCAACTTTAAACTTTGGTCGTTTAAGTGTGGCCTTGACTTTGAATTTCTTGTACACCCGTTGTAGTAGATCCTTCTCGTTACGAGCAGTCACATCCGTCGGTTTCATACCAATGGTGCGATGCTTACTGCTATTGTAAGAGGATACCAAGTCCGATAAGATATCCAGCCACCAGCGCACTCAGTCTGGCGTGTCGTGTCACCTGCATGGATTCGATCACCCTCAAAGCTGATGGGCGAATCGCCTATCATCAATTTGTTCTTGGCGAGTTTACGCACACCATAGGCGGTATCCAATTGTTTATTCTCCC